CTTCCCTCATGTGCTGTTTTGATGGTGGTGGAGAGTGCTGTAACATGACAGCTGTTAAAATGGGTGTTGAATTATTGACTGTGAAGACCATAGGATATGATTCACATCATTTTCAGACTAATCAACCCATTAACCGACCCATCAGGATAGAAATGTTTCATCGCAGGATGAAGGTGATCACTCAGAACATGATTTACAGTGGGTCTCACCTTAAACCATGTCAGTACAATGCCCTCCACATCATAATAGACCTGCAGGATTTCCTTTCATTTATCATCCGTCTGTATGTGAAACGTGTGCTACTACTGTACTACTTGTAATATGAGCCCTGTATGCACACCTGATGTGTGATCAGTAGTGCCTTAACATGCATTTCACAACAACAGACTTTGTGATTTACTGATGAGATGTGATTTACTGACTGGGCTGGAGAAAGAGATTAGTGTTCCTAAACATGACCTGTACACCATCTCCTGGCGACTAACAAAACTACAAGCGTGGGCTGAAGGCAGTGTCAGTGGTGATCACTGCTCAGGGTCCTTGTAAAGAACTTCAAGGCTAGAGAAACGGGCAGACAGTAGCTCAGTGTTAAAGTCAGCAGAAGAGCAGAAGTCTTGTTATTTGCTAATTTCTCCACTTTAAGTCTGAAATTTAAGCCTTTTTGTTTGTCACTCTGAAGTCTAGCAGCAAATATCATTAAGCACGTCCTTTATGCAGAAAAATATTCTGCATAAAATAGTCGCCAAAAATATTATTCCATAGAAAAACGTACTTTAATGTAAGAATAATGCACTGTAAGTTGGTCATTTTTACAAAACAAACCCCACCTCACCAAATAAATTTCATGCAATAAGTTTGCATGAAATACTCAAGTGACTTGAAATTATTTTATAATAATTTACTATATATTCTTTTAAAGCTTCTGTTGAGGAAAACATACAAAACAATCAGTATTGCAACAAAGATAACACTGCACCTTTATTACAGTAATATTAAAGTTCTCAGAGGTCATTTTCAGAGCTTTCTCAGCGAGGAAAAGCTCAGTTATAGGAACTATAGGAATACAGTCAGTATCAGTAACAGGATGGTGTCAGCTGTGTGTAATATGAGAGAGCAAATTCGAGGTGTGATATGAGACACAAAATTGGTTTCATTTTCCTGGATGAGCGTTGACATGGACAACAATGTTAGGAAACGTCTGAGCACTCAATGCTGCAACTGAGCAGTCAGAATCCAGACAGATATGTAATAACAAAATGTTATAACTTGCCCTGCTTTTGCTTTCAGGTGATGTCAGGAAAAATTGTAATCAATAGAAAAAACAAGCTGTTTGCCAGTGTTGAAGCCATTGTTTTAGGTAAAGTTGCCTTTCTAAAATCTTACAAATAGTTAACCGAAATAAAAAAAATGGAATATAAGTAAATAGTAGAATTATACTTCTACTAAAGGTAAAATATCTGAGCAATGGTGGGCAGACTCAGTGAAAATGCAAATGTTGCTTTTTTTCTCATGTAAAGTAAGAGTTGCTGTTAGAATATAAGCCTTTAACTTACAGTAGAAGCCTTTATGATCAAATCAAATCAAATCACTTAATTGTCACATTACCACATAATGATGATCATGAAAAATCATAAGTGCAACTAAAATTCCACATATTATAAAGAAAAGAATATTCAAATTTTACACAGCATGAAGAAAAAAGAGAAACACAAAATATGGAGAAACACATTAGTAGGAGTCTTCAAATGGACCATTTGATGGTTTAGGATCAGACGTTGAGTCAGTCAAAAACGATCTGCTTATAATAATCATCCATATTCTATAGGCACTGGCCAGAAGGACATGATGGGCTTAAGATGACAACCTTTCATTACTCTTGTATGTTTGTTGCATAACAGTATGTATCAAGATGCTGTAAGGACAAGGATTCAATTTCCTTTTTCTCTTTATATTAAACAATCGATATTATTGAGGACAGCGGCTGAGGAGCGTGAGATTATCAGCGAGCACTGGAGCTCAGGACAGCTGCAGGAGAATAACAATCCTACGCTGGTAATCCAGTCAGCTCGGGAGGAGGATTTACACTCCGGTTCACGGCTTACCAACAACATCACAGAGAATTAATGAATCCACATCCATCACAGACCCACTGTATAACTGCTGTGCTGTTTGAATACTGGTACAACACGGTTAAAGGCACGCCTAAATGTGCCTTTCACTACTCCTGTGATTGTAGAAAATCAAATTACACCGTCAGTGTTCCATCAGAAAAAAATATACGTAAACTAGTTTTGTTTAGAAATTATATAACTGTATGAGATAGCGAGGGCAGCCTTTTACTCCACACTTGGCTCATACAAACACTTCAGCTAAAATAATATGTTTTGTGCAATATATGAGAAATATAAAAGCAAAATACCAAAATGTATTATCATGTCAATTATTGTGCCTTTAGCTGCAACAGCAGAGGCTCTTTTAACCCAAATAAGATACTTTTACATATTCATATAACAAGAGTTTGTCTCAAAAAATATTTGGAAATTATAATATTTTTCTTTTGCTACGTAAATCTATAACATATTATTTTAAAAAAATAAATAAATTAAAAAAGCAGGCCCGGCTCCACGTGAGATGAAGTGTGAGCCAAGTGACATTCCAGATGGGCCAGGGGTATGGTGGGTATATATTGCATTTTTATTTTTACATTCTCTCTTTTTTTTTTCTTTTTTTTTATATTATTTTATTTTTTACCCCACAGATCTTGTATTAATTTAGTAACCTTAGATTTCATAAACATTTTTTAAAAAAGCTCAGGTCTTATAAAATAGCTATTTATGTCACTACAATATTTACATAATAAATAAGTTTGACACCAACACTTTAGATGCCAGTTAAATTTCACAATTCTTGATTCCATTTTTTTACTACAACAGTAACATTACAAACCTAACAAATATAAATTTCGATCATTATTACTGACAAAATCAAATAAGTACTAATAAACAAATTACAAGCATCAGCACAAATAAATAAATAGAACAAAGATACAAATTAAACAGTTATAAGCAATCTGCAAACAACAGTATCCAGATGGATCCTTTGTCTTTGCTGGTGACTTTAATCACAGTAATTTGAGGACAGCATTCTCCAAATCCAAGAGGATACAACATCCTTGATCATGTTTATACAAACAGGGCTATAAAGTTACTTCTGCCCTGTTACTCCCATTATTCGGTGCTCTCTTACCTGAAAACATGCCCGCCCCCAACATTGGACCTATGCCAGTTTGCGTACAGACCCAGCAGGGCAACTGAGGACGCCATCGCCTCACCTCTCCACTCAGCTCTAACTCACTAGGACAGTAGCAACACCATTTCTGTCACAGATGGAGTTCAGTTACTACTGTCTTTTTAATGCTACTTTACAGCCAAACAGAACTGAATTCTGCTTTCAACACTGTCATCCCATCAAAGCTCAGTGATTTTTGCACTTCCCTCAGCATTCAGACCTAGCTTTTCTCACTAACAGACCACAGTCTGTTAGGCTGAACAACCATAATTCTTCCACCCTCACTCTGAACACTGGTGTACCACAGGGCTGTGTGCTGAGCCCAATCCTGTTCCCTCTTTATCCATGACTGCATACCTGTACATGGTTTTATATATACAAACTTGATATAATGGAATGAATATACAGTAGGTAGTCAACCAGAATGACTATTACCGCCACGCTTACCGTCGCGGTAATGCCGCAGCAGCAAATACAAATCAGTCACATGTGAAACTCATTTGTGAAATCCCCACCAGGTGGCGCAAAGGGACGGTTGACACGTTTGCTCAATAAAGTGGAAATGTGAAGTTCGGCCAGAGGACTGGCCTGCATTTTAAATGTACACTGTAAAAAATTAGTAATGAATTAATTTATAAAAAAAAGAGAGAGGGAGAGAGAGAGAGAGGGAGGAGGGGAGAGAGAAAGAGACAACTAAATGAAAAAGTACTGGTCATTTTCTGCCTGGGCATTGTCCATTACTTTTACGGACATTTCCTGTAAAAACTTCAATAGTCTCCACATATTTTTATGGATTTATTTATTTATTATTATTATTTACATTGTAAGTCTAAAGTCTGGGGATAGTTAAACATATTATTGCAAATTTCATATGGATTCAGTGTTTTATTCCCTGTGTGATTTGCTGTGTTTTGCAATTCGTACAGGATGAGTTTGTCGTGTGGATGGTTGGGGGAATCCGTCCAAAACTATGATAAACGAAACATGAATTGGTCAATACAAGAGTTTTGTAATTTAATGTAGATAGTACATGTTAGTCTTCTGTGAAACTGACATTTGCAGATTGGCCGAACTCATAGCAGATTTTACGCATTTCTCTGAATGATTGCAGAGAACAACACCTGATGCACAACATTAGTTTCCAAATGCTCTGCGGTGTCAAAACTGATGGTTTTTATTCACCGAAAGAATACGTGGAAGGCTGAATATAGCGAAAGGAAAGATGTTAATATCTAACAAATGAAGGTTAGGTTTGGGGTTGAAATGGCAGGGTACAGTTAGAAAGTCATTTTGTTTAAAAAAAAAAAAAAAAAAAGATATATATATATATATACATATATATAGATACAAGTTACTGATCTCATAATTTAGACTGAGCTAAACATTAGGCTAGATGTCGGTTATCCATTTCATTTATTTAAAAATTCAACAAAACAGAATTTGTTGATTTTAAAGAAAGTCATAATTATAAAAACAAAATAAACTCAAAACAGAAAATGTAAGATGTTGCAAAATGCTTGCTTTATTAAAGCACAATATACATAATAAAGCTCTGTAAGCTATGTGTAATGTATAGCCATGTAAAAATAAGTTAAAATAGAAAACACCAAATTTTTAGAATAAAAAAATAAAATATATTAAAACAGAATTGGTTCAATTTAACAAAAGAAAAAAATTGGAATAGAACAATCTTTGAACAGAAAAAATACAATTATTTAATACTGTAAACGTCGGTGGGCAACAGTATTTCTCGGGGAACGAAGTAATTCGTTCACCCTGTCCTTGACCCACTTGCCATCACTACTGGTCATATGAGGGAATTTCTGGGCAACTGTCATCGTTATAAAGTGCCTTACGTTCATGGACAATCCACGTTTACCTCTGGAACCATCCCAGTTTGTTGTGGATGCCCACTCTTTATAAACGTCCTGCGGTACTATGGCGCGGAAAAGCAAGCAACTGTAACGATATGCTCACCCCTGACTCTGCATCATCAGAGACTCAAGAAGCTCCGGAGTTGGAGAAGTGAATAGGAGTTCGGGATGGCAGATTCTAATTGGCGTTGTGGCAGAATAAACAATTTCCCTACTCTCTGCATCCCCACTAAGAGGAGTCAGTCAGTCTGAGGTTGAGATGTGTGCACAATTTAACTGTGTCCTTAGAGCCTCTGTTGCCACTGTCTGCGCTTCTCTTAGCTGCGTTACAACAGTCGAGTGGATCTCGATTAACCCTTTGAGATCAGATCAGCAAGAGCCGTCTTTTCGTCTGCATGTGCCTCTTTGCAGACACGCAACTGCTGTTTCAGCGCCGCAATCTCGGTGTCACGCATAACCAGCTCAGGCCTCAAGTCATCCACCACAGTCTGTCTCTGTTGGAGTGGAGTTCTAGTAGTCACTCCTGTAAACAGGGTATTTGCCTATAACAGGAGAAAGCATGTGTTAATACAATTTTGTGGTTCTTCATTTCGAGGCCATCCATGTAAGGTAATTTGTACATGGTATAAAACGTAAATAAAAGTTACCGCTTTTTTCGGGACCATGCGCTTCTTTGTAGTGCTAGCTTTTGTTCACCTCACCGCTAAGGCTTCAGGGCGCGGGGGTCTGTTTTCCACCAAAGATTCCTGTAAACAATAGCGGAATGACCAAAACATCGTAGGTAATATGATAAATAACCATTAACAGTAGAATATTGTTTAATTAGTATTGAACAACAATAAAATTATTTTTGTTACCTTCCTTATGTTTCTCATCCTACTACTGTAAAAGGCAGAGGTGTTCATTTTGACCTGACGGAGCGGTTCAAGTTGCAAAAGAAGTTCGTTTTGGATAATGTAGCACGCAGCATTTTATAGGCCTGCTCCAACACAACTGTCTGTAATTATCAAGCACTGAACACCTTTGATAAGCTGGTTCAGGTGTGTTTGATTGGGGTTGAAAAATGTTATTTGTGTATTTCAATTTTTGTTTTATCAGTCTACAGCGCTTCACTATTTCAAGAGCTGCAAACATATCCAAGTCACTGTATTTACCCCATCCTTGGAAACGAAAATATATTATAAATTAAATGTTACTTTTAAATGTTATATTTTTATTTCTGAAATGCTTCTTACACGTATAAAACTGTATGCAATATTGAAAACGGTATAATTCAATTTGTATTATATTTTTGTCCATGGGTGTTTTCACTTACAGTATTAGTAACTGTTCACCTTTTGATTATTACTGTTGCCTCTAGTAATTCTGTGTCTGCTTTTTAATTTCCAACCTACAGTATTTTTAGTTCATTTTAATCCAGCAATAGTAATTTTCAATCAATATTTGAGTTAATTTATTATTAGTGCAAAATGCTAGTTTTTTTTTTTTTAACCCAAGCTGGGTTCAGCCTGCTGGGTCATTTAATTGGCTTGTTTTTAATATTTTTGCCCAGGTGCTGGGTGGTTTTTCTGCACTCTATAAAATGCTGGGTTATTTTTTTTTTAACCCAAATGCTGGGTTCAGCTTGTTGGGTCATTTTATTGGGTTATTTTTAGTATTTTTTACCCATGCCGGGTATAGTTTTTTCTTAACTAGCTGCTGGGTGTCATTTTTAATATTTGTTAACATATTACATTTATGTATATGTAAATATATTAGATTTCTATAAATGTAAATATATTTTAAAACATTCAAATATTCAATTAATGCTTTTTACTGTACATCGCATATAAGTAAATCAACTTAAACATGTTTTCACAGAATATATTCATGTTTACTCAAACTGTGTGTAAATAAATTACATCTACATATATGTAAATGTTTTCATTTTATATAGATTATAATTTGCCCCTTCATAATAAATCAAACAGAAATTGGACACTGAAAAAAAATTAAAATCTCCAGACAATGCAACTTAAAAACAGTGACAATATCAATTGAATTAACTTATTAATGTAAAGAGTTCATTTATCAACACCAGTTCAGCATGAACCAACAAAAATTATGAATGCTCATGATGTTTCTGGCACATAAATAAAAGATTATCCTTCTGTAAGCATCCAGGGTCAAAACATTATGCACAAATATGCAAGTCATATTAGTCATTCAACACATTGCATTTAAATATTTAAGAGCCATCATTAACCATGCACACAATTCATCAACTAATCACATGCTCCCACAATAACACATCAGCTAATTATGCCCTTAACCCACTTCAAATAAACAAATGAAAATCATATGCAAAATCGTCTCAGGTTACTTATGTAAGCATGGTTCCCTGAGTAGGGAACGAGACACTGCGTCCTCTAGGGGTCGCTATGGGAACGCCTCGTCGTGACCCGTGTCTGAAGCATACATTGAAAAAACACCAACTCGTTGGCTGGCGACAGTCATGACGTCACTACCGGTGCGACTATAGTATAAATAGGCGCCGGGAGCACACATCATTCACTTCTTCGTCTGAAGCTTGCGTCCGAAGCATGGCAGGAAACCTAGAGGACACAGTGTCTCGTTCCCTACTCAGGGAACCATGGTTACATAAGTAACCTGAGACGTT